GAAGTTCTTACTTGTAAATAGGCTTACTTGTTGAAAACAGGTCCCTGCTGTACAGATTTTGCATAGGCAATTTAGCTCTGTTAATCCAAGTTATTTCAGTATTTTTTCAATACTATGTAAATGCTTTTTGGATAAAACTTCATTTTAAAAATTGTCTTAAGTATAATTAGTAATTTTGAAACTTCTTGGGCCAGGGATTTAGCTCAGTGTTGTAAGTACCTGCCTGGCAAGAGCAAGTTTGTGAGTTGACCCCTGGTACAAAAAAAAAAAAAAAAAAAAAAAAGAAAGAAAAGAAAAAAAGAAACTTATTTAGTTCATCATTGAGCTGCCTTCTTTTTATACTGGTTTCCTCAGCCTCCCATTGTTTGCTTTGTCCTCAATAAAAGATCTCCAAGATAAAAAAAAAAAAAAAGAAATGCACAAACCAACTTCCTCTTTGAATGACAAAGAAATTAGCACATCTTTTAGCCACATGACTCCCAACACCAGATAGGAAGAAGATAATAACTGGGTTTAAGCAGAAAACTTTTGTGGGTCAAAGAGACAGTAGGAAGCATGGCAATGGGTGGAGAATGTATTACAGTAGTGATTATAACAACAGGTTGTGCAATCTACAGTGGCAAGCATGGAAGTGATAGTGAAACATGTCGAGTCAAGAGGCTTGTCACACGGTAGATGGAATAGGAAGGTCTTTGGAGAGGAGGCTTTGGGAAAATTTTTGTAGAGAGGAGAAATGAGTATCATTAATAAAACTGAGACTTTGGAAATCATATCAATATTTGTACTGAGAAGAGGAAAGGTTGGTCAAATTGATGGTTAGAATGAAATGAATGCCAAGTTCAATGAAGAAGGTGTTAAGGATGGAGAGGTTAGGGTACTAGATGGACAGTCAAGGTAGACAATGTAACTATCACAATGAAGACAGGATTGTCAGTGGAGGAGTCTACAAAATAGACATTCAGGGCACACAATATAATAGTAAACATTAACTCTGGCATTAGTCGCATTAAGTGTATATAAAATTTTTTGTCACCAATTTCTTTTTAAAAAATGAATAAATAAGATACAAGTAGTGGTCCAGTCTTGCTTCCCTTCTCTCTGTGACCCCCACAAGATTGCAAAATTTATGTGTGTTATTTTTTCAATGTATAACATAATGTGTAAGATTTATCCAAAAATATAGATACTTTAAACAACTCATTTCAAAAGTGTTTGCACATGACTTGTACAATTTACTATGAATTTTCTGATAAGTAGTTACACAAAAGTGAATACATTGTCTACATCAAGCTACCAAAAGGCTTCAGTGTTTTATTTTTATGTGAAGACTAAAAATATTGATTTAATTTAAAGATCAACCATCTCTTTCCTTCCTATCTTGAAGTTTCATCATAGATGAGCTTCAGAGAGCCATGTGGCAGGTGTTGAAGGTCCACCCAGCATACCCCACCATTTGGGAAGCCTTTGGGTGCCACTAGGGAACTGGTAAGGACTCGCATCCCCCAATCAGCTGGAGAAACTCCCTGCAGTACAGACAGCCATCCTCAATCCGAGACACACAGATAAGTGAAGCATATCAAACTCCAATTAGCCATAGCCAAAATAAATCTACACCCAGAAATATAAACTGAACATTCCAGAAATTCAACATAGGAAAAGAATATTAAAAGCTGTTAGAGAAAATAAATAAATCAGCTATAAAGGGAAGCTCATCAGAATCACAGCAGACTTCTCAATACAAATGATGAAATCAAGAAGAGCATGGAGTAAAGTATTTCAAATCCTAAAGGAAAATGACTTCCAAGCCAGATTAATGTACCCTGCAAAACTTTTCTTCAAAATCAGTTTTTTGTTGACTCTTTCTACGGTGGCACAGGAAAGCTCATGACAGGGCAATATTCTGTAGTCTGATCATGTACAGTGATCCTAACAATTCATGCCACAGGGTTTGCTACATCTCTAGAATTTCTGGAAAAAAGAGGAGAAAAGTGTAGGATAGGCTTCTGAGGGACTGTGAAATGACTGTGGACACAGGCATTGCACTGCCTTGTGTTAGAATTTTCTTGCAGGCACAGAAATTTAAAAAGACAAAGATCTCAGATCTAACTTGGCAAAAGAATGATCTATTTACCTAGGAAATGTTTAGAGACAGGAGGGCAATATGACTTCATCCTGGGACAATCATGAGGATGCTTGTCCTATTAGGCGGGAAATGCCTCAATGTGTCAGTCATTGGAGATAGGGGCACCTCCATTTCCATGTCTAGCTTCATGTGTTTTCATGAAAGCACCACGTGTTTCCAATATTCCTTCCGTGTGTGAATGCATGAAGGAAGAGCACAGTGTTAACTGAATACATGGGGTAAGTGAAAAAATTAACAATGAAGGTATCATTGAAAGTGTTAGGTAGAAAACTCTATGCATCATAATTCTTTTTTTTTTTTTTAGTATATCTCAGGTGTTTAGAAGACTTATTTCTGTGTCCCAAACAGCTGAAGTGGACCATTAATGTGCTTCTCTTCTAAGAATTCACATGGTTTTCGTTATAGTTGATACCGTGTGTCAACTCAGAAAGGTTAGAAATTAACTCAGCCACTCAGCAGAGAGCCAGGATCCTTACTTTGTAAATATCCTGAGCCTGTGTAAGAGGAGGATGTGGAGGTTGTGTAAGTGCTGCATCCATCCTGCGGGGTGTGTAGCCTACTTACAATATAAGGGAAGATAAAAGGTTTGTTCTCTTCCTTTTTTGCTTTGGCTGCTTTTGCTGGCTGCTACCTTGAAATGTTGTCCCACTGCCATGCCACTGTACCTTGGAACCCGCTGATTGTGTACTGAAACCTCCACAACTATAAGCTAAATAAATCTTTCCTTCTTTCGTTTTGGGCGTCAGGTATTTTGTCCCAGCAATGAGAGAAATGTAACTAAGACAGCTCTGTTGAACACTGAGAAGCATTTTCAGTCATAGTGTGATGTGAGTTGAACTAAACCCATCTATACAAAAGATTAGGGTGAAGCAAGAATGAGGTCTGAGGGCCACTGAATTTAGAGTATGGAAATATCTCGAAGAAGACAAGTGTTGTGCTGTGCATGACAAACACCAATTCTATACTCTCGTCTAGGAGATCTTTAGTAGAATGCGGCTCATAGATGAAAGGTTTTGTGGGAGCAGAGCCGATGAGGCTCTGAGAAGTTCAGAGCATGTACTATAAAGGGAGATTCTTATGTGTATTTTAACAACAGAAAGAGTACCAGATCACACCTGAGTGAATAATAGCAGCTGCCTGAGAATTTTCTGTTTCTAAAAATTTTATTGGTCCATGTTTGCAGTAGGTGAAGTTTATATTCATGTTAGGGAGTAGGCATCTTGATTCATTTTTATTCCTTTTGCACTCTCCATTCACCTTCCTCCTTCATCTCTAGATCTTCCTTCATTTTCATAATTGCTGCTATTATTATTATTTTTAGTTCATGTTTACAACACAGAATGTTGACGTTCATTGTGGGTACATGCTGCATCTCCAGTCTTTTAACCTTCCTTTCTCCTCCCCCTTTCCCTTCCATTCTGTCTCCTGGATCCCTTCCCATTTGCAAATGATCTGTCTCCCTGTTTCCTTTATCTTGCTCTTATTTACACGTTGCCTTACTCAAATGAGAGATATTATATTGTATGCAAAGTGTTTCCCCTTGGTACAGTAGTTTTACCCTGGGGTGGGGAAATTTAGGGAGAATGATGTGGAAAACAAAGATAGCTGGCTAGGCAGTAGAAGCAAGGCTAGCCATCAAATGTTGATCATGTAAGGTTCGGGAAACCACAGAAAGGGCTAGAAAAGAAAGAAGGAAATTGTATTGGAGGGATTATCTGAACTTAGTCTCTGGGTTTGGTGGATGGGATTAGTTTCTTTGTGGTTGGAGTTCTCCCCAGACATTTAGAAAAAGCGAAAATGAGCAAAAGAAATAAAAAAAGAAAGAAAAGAAAAAAAATTGAGTTCCTGAGAAGTGGTGGCTTTAGTGATGGGAGGAATATTTCTCCTCTGCACTGTTCTGCAGTGGCGATAAGTAGGGTCTTTCTGTGAAAAGATTCATTATTCAAAATTTGTTTTTACTTTAATGATAAGCCTCCCAAAACAAAGCAGAATAAATTGAATCAAAACAAAGCAGTGAAATTGTTACAGAGTTTCAAAGTAACATAATAGGAAAACCATTGTTTTAGATCTTGTTATTGTTAAAATAGTTGTCCATTCCATCAGATATAGCAAAATCAAACCGAAACAAAACAGAATAAAACCAATCAAAACAGAATATTGAATAAAGCAAAACAATCAGAACAAAAAAAAAACAATGAGGACAATATTGTATTTCAAAAACAAGATAGAAGGAAATCCCCCATTATTGCTGTATTGCATAATGTTATCCTCCCTATAGTTGCTCGGACTGCTGGCCCCAGGATTGCAAAGTCAAACAAACAGCATAAACATTCAGTTGCTTTTGGTACCTCAGTTACCATCAACTCAGCCTGTCCTCCAAACCAGCTGGTTGCTTATGGGAGAACGGGGGTAGAGGGTTGGTGATTCTCAGCCTGTGTGCTGGTAGGCTCATGGGAGGCACTGGCTTTTCTCTTCCTGGTCCCCACATGGCCTGTGCGGCCTGCCAGAAAGGCTGGCTAGTTGGCGTGTTGGTCAGCTGCTCCCTGTGACAAGATTCTTAACAGTCATGTTTTGGGCACTACCCAGTTTCCACTTACATATCAGCCACTCTTATCCCATTTTGTCTACGTGCAGTTAGTAACTCCTATTTGGGATGTTTTCACTGGGAAATACGGGTCCAGATCAAAAACCATGGTAGGCAATATGAACTTGCTTATATGAGGGTTTCTAACTGTTGTACTCTAAGAAAATAGTTTCATTATATGTGTATAATAACAAAACCTGTAACACGGCTTATGTATGTGTTTTCCTTTTCCCTTTGGATGACCTAATTGATATGTTAATCAATGATCTTCTCTGTAAAGAATTGTAAAACCTTACCTAACTGATATGTTAACCAGAGTTGCCCTCTATAAATAACAGAAGTGGTGCTAAAGCAAGCTAACAAGGGTTGTTAATCACTGTTAGGCGCCTCTATTCTCCACTAAAGAGCTAAAGAAAACTAGGATGGCCCTCTAATTTACACTTGTTTGAAGTAACTTGCTTGTGTGCAGGGAGATTTGCTTATTAGCATAACCCTTTACCTGACCTTGATACCCCTCCCCAGAAAGAAAGAAACACATAACCGCCATTTTCTGTTCTGTATCGTGCCTTATTGCCTCCCCTCTCCCCTTACCTATCTATCTAGGCTAGGCCATAAAGATTTTGAGTTTCTGGTGACCTCTTCCCGACCAGGTGGTGGTCTGTCATAAAATGAGCCTGCTCTGTTTTTAAGAACTTCTTAGCTTCAAAGAAATTACAGGAAAATGTTGTGGCTTAACCCTAATGTACCAAACAGGTTAAGTTCCAAATCCTTGTGAAGGCTTAAGTTTCAGCTTCTTGTAACTCCCACCTGTTAGTGTTAACGAGCTATCCTGAGATAATTAGCTTTCTACTTTCTTCTCTAAATGTTATTGCAGATAATTCTTATCTGCAGGATGGGAGTAACTCAAAAGGCGCCAAAGGCTCCCAAAGTTGTCAGAGCTAAGTGGACAGCTATCCAGTTTCCAGATTTGGGTCAACAAGTTTGAGGGCTCTGAAGGTTTCTTTGTTTTTCCTCCCCCCTCTCTCCTGCTTTTAAAATCCCCCTTCCTTCAATCTCTGGCATGAAGTCTCCAAATTGGCTCCCAGAGACTCATCACCAGGCCTGGCCTAATAAAGCCTTTGCTCCCCAAATTTCAGTCTCTTGCTTCCTTGGATTTTATACTGGGGTCCAAGTTATTACACTAACTAAAGTATTTTAAAATTTAAAATACTTAAAGAACAACAAAGAATGTAGAGAGATAACTGTATAAAAATGGGCAGTGGTTTTGAAAAGACTATACAGTAATAGGGTGACTATTGGCAAGATAAATTGTTTTTGTGTATTACCATTTTCAGGTGTGGTTTGTGTAGTTTTATCCAAATAGGGGGAGACTTGATTTTTTACTTTATTTAGAGTTGTCAATGGTTTGAAGAGGTTGAAAAGTAAAAAAGTTGAAAAGGAATAGATTGCAATTACTTAAAAGTGTTAACTTATCTATGCTGAACTGCAACTCTCAGATTTCCTTCCCTTTAAATTTCTGGTTAGGTTATACATGAGCTTGGATCCTTGGACTTGAAGCAGCAGCTATGGTTGGTGCAAGCATCCTAGGATGCTCACGTTTGTCATTGCTTCCCTGTTAGCTGCCTCCTGGCAAGAGAACCAACTGCTAGTCCTACAACTGCTCCGCATGCTGTTTGTAAAACCTTGGCTTCTTTGACTGCTTGCTGCAGTGTGCTTTAGTTTCATTATGAAGGAAACCAACTTCAGTGGAAGAACCCTGATGTTTTCAAGTCTTTCTGGCAGTGAGAGCACAGGTGGGCCTGCTAGTTGGCTCCTATGGGTCTTGACTTCTGTTTCTTGGCACTGGCTTCCCGATAAACTGTAAGTCTGAGACAAAGAGACAACAGCCTTTCCCAGATAACATAAACAGAAAAGAACTTATATCTTTGTAAGTTAAAGCTCCCATGTGTGCACATTTGCGAACACACGTACAGCAAAAGTCATTAAATATTTTAATATTTGTAGTAATACAGTCTCTGTTACAAGTATTTAACTGTTGCTGTATGTGAAAATTACTGATGACAATGCATGTGTAAATAGGCCTCTGTCTATTTATATCTTTATCTGTAAACTTAAATCTCTTTATATCTATATAAGGGTGTGAGCTTTGATAATTATATAAGTAAACTAGAGGGACAACTTCTCTGAGTGAACGCGGTAGCTGCAGAATTAGTATATTGAAGGGAAATCTTGCTGTAACCTTCAGGTGGGGTCCTGAGAGGGAGTGACTGGAGATTAAGAAAGACAAGACAAATAAGAAAACAAAAGTTGGGCCTTGGTGGGACTCGGCCCTCTGATGGAGAAGCAGCAAAGCTGCGCTGGCCCCAATGTCTTTATACAAAGTAATAAAGTGAGAAAGCACATGATGGGGTCCAAAGAGCAAAGTCTTAAGTGTTTCGCTGAGAACACGAGAAATGAAACCTTTTCAGAGCTACCTGTGCTGTAGTTAACAGGGAGGAACACCGAGGCTGGACACCTGCTGATATGCAACTGAGCTAGAGGTCAACTTGTTTACATGATCTGTCTCTGGTATTGCATGAGACTGGTTTTGCCCCAGGTCTAAGTAGAGTTTAGTGACCTCTGGCTCTGCTGTGGCTCAGCTGCAGCTCAGCTGCTCCTCACATGTTCTGACAGCTCCACCCTTTCCTGAGCAAGCCTTTCACCACTATTCTCTCTCTCACCTCCATCCTCCAAAGCCTTCTGAAGAACCAATTTCAGGGACTGTGGCTTCCACCGCTGTTGCTGTTTCTGCCTAAAGGAGCCAACAAAGAAGTAAATGATGGGGTTGGCACTGCTGTTGACACCAGATAGCAGATAAGCAGTCCTCTCAAAGATCTGATATTTTAAACCAATTTTTAAAATAATAGTGTCACCCCAGACTGTCACAACACAAATAGGTAGGCTACAGACGAGGAAGATAAGGACTGAGAGCCCAATGGTCACATACAGTCTGGTCAGTGGCAACCTCGTGGAGCCACAGAGCATCCTGATCAGCAAGACCATATTAGACCCACAGAGAACCACAAATAAAATGGTTAGACATGAAACTGCAAAGAAACGCATTCCCATATCCAGTCGAATGAACCCCGATGGAAAGTTATGTGAGATGTGTGTCAGGGTAGTGAACAGTAAGGACAGAACCCAGAGTAGGGAACACATGACATCCGACATGTATCTTGGCCGGTGGCAGTGGTACCAGATGGGGAACAGGATCACCAGGCAGCGTTCCATGCTGATGGCACTGAGCATAGACAGGCTGACGATGTAGAAACACATCCCTGCAGCGTGTATGTGCTTGAAGTAGTTGTAGTCAAATCTATCAATGAGATTCCACAGAAAGAATACAAGGAGGCAACAGAGGAAAAGAAAGTCCGATATGGCCAGGTTGAGGATGTAGACTGAGATGGCCTTTTTGTGCCTTTGAATTCCCAGGAGCCAGAGCACAGTAGCATTTCCAGCCAGCCCTATCAGGGCAAAGATGACTATCAGTGACTCTTGAATTGTGAGCACTTTGTAGTTGGATGAAAAGTTATTCATCGCCGTTAGCTCTGTATCACTGAATGGGATGATTTGCTTTTTCCTCAGAAGCTCTCCACCAGTGTCCCTGGGAACACAAACAAATGATGAACACCTGCTGTAAGATCTGTCATCTCAGACTACCTTGATATTTGTAAATTACTGTTCCCCTGTGTTTCAGGGGGAGGAAACTGAGGCTTACAGAGGTCAAGTAATCTCATGGAATTTGGACTCAGACTCAGGTTTTATTGACCCTGAAAATTGGATTTTCTCTACTACTGAACAGGTTGTCTACTGACATTATCTAAAATATTCCAGTTTGTGATCTCTGTTGCTCACATTCAGGGAACTTCAGTTTGCATATGTGATTTTAAAACCACTGGGGGACTCCGCCAGGGAGTGGAGAACAGATAGAGTTATTTGGGTTTTTCATCTCCTGTCTCCTGAAGGGTGAGATTATAGTTGGCTGTGGCAACGCTTTTCACCCTGCATGGTCTTGTGCTCGTATTTCTACAACTGAGGCTGTTGCTGTGCCCTGTCTCCCTTGAGTGGAGTGGTGAGTATATTCCTCCATATTACTTTTCTTTTGGGTCCTCTATCATGCATTGTCAGCTTCTCTTAATCTTGCTATCTTTGCAACCTGTAAACTGAAGAAGTATTCCTGAGTTAGTTTTGTTTGCGTTTTTTCTTCTAGTACTTTCTTAAATATGTGAAAGAGAATAGCTTTGAAGAAAAAGTAAAACAAAGAAACCAGTGTTTCTGTAGGGCAGCTCTGACATGCAATGCCTGTATGCTACCCTTCTCTTTATATGAATTTAACAGGAAGCATAGTGAAGTTCAAATAAAGGGAAGAACACATGGAGATGGATCAGAGTGGGAAATGACTGGGTAAATCCACTGAGAATATCTGCAGTGTAGTCTTCCAACACCCATTTTTCAGAAGGAAACTTTCTATCTCTTCCTGTTATGGTTTATATTCAGATGCTCCCCCTGCCAAGCTTCATGCCATTATGGACCTGACCAAAGCTATCATTTGGGATTGGTTCATTGTCTAGTGGTTAGATTGGTGTTATGAATGCTACACCGCCTAGGAGTGGAGCCAGCATACAGTGTAACCAGGGGAAGGAGTATCTTTCTTTTGTTGTTCCCTCTTGCTGTTTGCTGAGGCCTTGAACTGCTGCCCCTCAGCCATGTCATTTTGCATTAGAGCCAACTGAGTATGGACTGAAACCTCCAACCTATAAGAAATAAACCTTTCCTTCCCTAATTTTGAGTCTTAGGTATTTTGTCTCAACAAGGAGAGAAAAGTAAGACACTTCCCTTCCCATAAAGGAAGTTCTTTCATTCCTTGCATTCCTTCCATTTCCTCCAAAGTAGAAGCAGAGTTATTTAACTTAAACACAAGACTTCGAAATATTTTCAAAAAAGGAAGTCTTAGTGCATACCCTCACTTCTGTCTGGAGGAACAAAACTGACTTAGGAACAAGAGGTAGGTCCTTTCTGGAGCTGGGTGATATCAGAGCACTTTCCTTGTGCTCCCAACCAGGAGATGCTTACAGGAAGTGAGGTAAATCTGGTGATTAAGTCAGGTCTACTAAATGCTGGGAGGCCCCTGTAATTTCCTGCACAGAGACTGTGCTCAAATCAGTTAATAATTTGTGATGTGATTCTTTATCAAGATGTTTCTGGATATCTGCCCAATTAATACTCACATATCAATCTCCCCCGTCCCATGTTCTCTGGTCTACCTCTGTAAGTAACTGCTATTCTGAAGCCTTGCCAATAATGAGTCCAGCATGGCAGCAATAGCAGCAAGGTGAGCTTGCCTGTGAGGCTTCGTAACTAAGGAATTATTATAGATTGGTGTCAGTCAAGGCTCAGTGCAGTCTGACTTCCTTTTTGGGTATGTTTTCTTAGTAGTAGTAATTCATTTACATGTTGTTTTAAAATCCAGAGAAGAGAATCAATGCGACATTCTCCCAATTTCATTCTCAATAGGCTGATGCTTACTACGTTTATCAGTGTTATTTCTTTTATAGTTTTTGGCTCTACATAGTGAACTTGTATTTCTATTTTTAAGAAATGATATGAAAAGTGGATTGACTTCTCTTATGAAATGTAAGCATTTAGTGTACATAGAATATTCTTTATTTTTTACCACCAATTAATGAAACTTGTAATTTTTATTTTTTTATTTAGTATTGGTAGTCAGAATATGTCTTATTTGCCTGACTTCTCTTTTTGTATTTTATGATACAAAAAAGTTAATTATTATTTTTACTAATGATATTTGAATTATATCTGTTTAAATTATTAAGAAAGCTACACAATGATTACATCTACATTTTTGCTAAGCAGACATAGGCAAAAAGGTAGTATAATCATGTACACATAGCAACATTTCTGTCTTTGATGAGCTGCACATATGACAGTGGAGCCTTAAGATTGTAGTAGAGCTGAAAAATTGCTATCACCAGTAGTTTTCACACCCATTGTCACCTTGTAGCACAATGCATAACTCATGTGTTTGTGGCAAATGGTTGTGAAAAGAAACTCGAATACAGTGGCAGTGTATACAAGTACAGCACCAATAATTATGTATGGTATAATATTTGGTAATGGTAATAAATGATGTTACTGGTTGATATATTTATTTTGTGGTACTCTTTTTGTTGTTTTAGAGTGTAATCCTACAAATAAGAAAAATCACCATAAGGCTGAATACATGCATGCTGAGAGAAGTCACATGTTTATAGAATCTTTGTCTGCATGATTTTTGCTAGAGCTCAAAGTAATGCCGTGTGGCCTTGCTTATAATGACTGTAGGAATGATAAGCTATAGAACACACACACAGACACACACACACACTCTCTCTCTCCTGTCTCTCTCTCTCTCCATCTCTCTCTCTCTCTCTCTCACACACACACACACACAGACACACACACACTCTCTCTCTCTCCATCTCTCTCTCTCTCCATCTCTCTCTCTCTCTCTCTCTCTCTCTCTCACACACACACACACACACACACACACACCCTATATAGCCTATTGGTGTAGTAGACTACAGTGTCGTTTTGAATTCACACATCAGTGAATTTTTTGAGGACATATTTCTCAGAACAAAAACCCTTTATTAACTGAGACTTTAAAACTTCACATTTGTTTCCAGCTATTTTTAAAAATGAGAAAATAGAATGTTATAAATGGATATAAAAGTAGAAATTCATGCCTCCTCTTATGCACTCCTCAGAATATTTGAAGCTAATGTGCAGTACTCTGTTGCATGTGGGAAAGCATGTTAAAAACAAGATTTTTCCATTATCAAGATTTTGTAGAACATATTTCAAACAGGTACAAGGTGAAATGCTAAGCTACATCATGAGTTTTCTGATATTAGCAGAGAACACTTAAACTCTCATCCATAACAAAACTATAAAATGTCGTGAATTGAATTTTTATGTTAGGAATGAAATATGTGAGGAGTTAAAAGAATAAATTCTCTTCCTTGAACCTGCTTTGGGACTTTTGCAAGCAAAAAAGACTGCACTGGTCAAATGGATGCATCCCACTGTTTCTCTCCTCCCCACTTTACCACATACTTCATGTTTCTATCTTGGCCTTTTACACTATATATTGGACACATTTCGGGGAGGATGATTAAGAGAGCAGAATGCTGCTTTTTGGCAGTGTTCTGCTCTGGTATCCTGGCTAATCATCTCTGTACTTCACAGATTTGTTTAATTGAGAGCAATTAATTTTACAAAACTTATGCCAAGCCCCATCACATTAAGGCCATGAGAAATGCCACTCATTTCACACATCCACTGCAGCCTCACAATTGTTCTTTAGAGATACTGAAACTACTGTGAAATACATGGGGAAACTAAAGGAATGGAGCTCGTTTACGTGCTGATCATCATTCCTTGAGCTACTTCTAAGCATTTATTAATAATGCCAGTGCAATTTGCCTCTCCTTTTTAAATTTCCCCATATCCTGTTCATTACTGCTTGCCAATTCAAAAGCTCAGTGTTGGCAAGATTGGAAAAGGAAATATGAGTACTAACTTGTAGTGTCTCAGTTCAAATTTCAGTTATTTAGAGACTTCTTTGATCTGCTCTCACCACATATTCAGTTACTAATGAAATGATCTTGCACACTGATCCTTAAGTCTGTGTCTACCTACTGAAGAATTTAAGTGGCTTATCTAGAATGATGGGCATGTGTAAGAGATTTATTTTTCTGCACTCTACTGTAATATCTTTTAGAACAGGAACAACATTTCATTTATTTTACAGTAAGCATTGGAGCACTGACAGTCTGTCACTCAACACACACTATACTCAGACCATATCCTAACTCTAGGTAGCTGTCACATAGTTTGAAAGACTGTAGTAAGGGTGTGGAAATGTGAATTTCTGAGGCTGTCTCACAATGATACTTGCTTTTAATCTACAACCATACAAAGTTAAATCACAGTATCTTATTTTGAAAATAAATTACAGATCACAAGTGGCATATGATTCATATTTGGCGGTCCACTGGCTTCACTATTTTTGGCTTTCTTGGTGTAAGCATGTTGAGGCAAAAAGACAGAAGAAGTTAGGTATATAGGGTTTAGGTTATGAATAGTTAACATCTAAAGTTGGGGCTTAAGAGACATACCAAAGAACCTAAATAATTATCTAAAGCAAACTAACTGTCAGGGCCTAATGGAATGTAAGATACAAAGAACAGGTCCTTGACCAAATGGGAATGTACCCTGTAAAACTATCTTCCAGCATTAAGGGAGAAATAAAATACTGCCATGACAAAGCACAACTGAAGAATGCTTTTAAACCAGCCATTGCTGATTTAATATTATCTTGCTTTGAAGTCCTACCATGCTTTCATTCTTCTGTTTCCACTGGGTTGTTCTCCGAAACAGACCAAATGGGAGAGAACTTGGAGGAAGTAAAGTGCAAAGGAAGCAGCTTGCTCTCTGGACCCCAAAGGTCTACCTAACCAGGAGCATCCCTGCTTTCTATCACATACACGGGTACCAACAACTGTATAAAAGCTCAGTGGACTT